AGTCCTTAAAAAACAAAGCTATAAATGCTAAATAAAGTTAAAGTCGTCTTGTTGCTGCACCATGGAAAAGTGAGCAATCGGCTCACAAATTCCAAAAGCTTTCCTGAAGTTTGGATTACTCGAAGTACACTGTGAATTCTTGAGGTATTACCAGCTTGTTCTGCGAAAGCTCAGGTAGAGTACTCTTTGTTTTATAGTGGCTGCGTCAAGTCCTTCACTGCAAGTGAGCTTCAGCATCAAGAGTGAGGACATAACTATGCTCAGCTTGCTGCTCTGAGATGCACTCCCTGCCCTTTAATGACTACATAACACGGGCAGTGTGTGTGTGTGTGTAGGTGTGTGTGTGTGTATGTGTTCATACGTGTCAGGCTGGCTGAATTTGATTTTCTATGTCATTTTCTTTCCTTCTTTTGTTTTTTGATATATTCTTTTCTTTCTTCTTGAATTGTTTGCAAATCAAGCAACGGCCGGTTTGCTGGTAATATATGTACAAAAAAGGTATACGACCCCTTTAAACAACTGAAAAACAACAAGTACGTGTTTGACTTGTTGCATCATGCTGATAAATATTCAACTATTTGAAAGACATGTAACTAGCTTTTGTTACACAACAGAATTGGCAGTCAATCAGTGACTGCGTAAGGTGTCCTTCCATTTGTGCAATGCAGAAGAAAGGCTATGAGACAGAACCATTCATAAAGGGCAAAAGAAAAAAAAATCTTTTTCCAATTATTTGTTTTTCATATTTGTATTGCACTTATGGAGAAGATGTTGCTATCTGAGACTGCCTGGTGTGTGTCTTGGTGATTAGTTTTGAGGAATGTGTGCTCTTGTGTAAGGATCAGCATGAGATGTCAAGACGAATGAAGCTGCAGGTGCACCAAAGCAAAACAATAAACTTTGCATTTTTTCAGCTGCGAGTGTGTTCAGGAAAAGATTTGTCCTTAGATTCCTTTTTATTTGATGTATCTGCTGTTTGAGCCTTAAAAGTCTTGTTTTTTCACAGCAGCTGAAAATAAAAATGAGAAAAAGATTCAAAGGCTGTCTTGAAAACTCTCTGCATGACCTGTGAAATTTCAAGAACGTGAAGCGCTGTTTTACATCCAGTCTTAATGTTTTACAAAAACAGGCTGTTCTGTCAGTCTGGATTTAAATTAATAATAATAATAATGGATTGGATTTATATAGCGCTTTTCAAGGCACCCAAAGCGCTTTACAATGCCACTATTCATTCACTCTCACATTCACACACTGGTGGAGGCGAGCTACAGTTGTAGCTACAGCTGCCCTGGGGCAGACTGAGAGAAGTAAGGCTGCCATATTGCGCCATCGGCCCCTCTGGCCAACACCAGTAGGGTAAAGTGTCTTGCCCCAAATTAACAATCAACAAAAACACAGACAGAAAGCTGTTCTGGACATGTGGACGGACAACAGAGTAACCAGAAAGGAACCAAACTGAGGGAAACACTCAGAATATCAATGACGGCTTAGGTATCGCATGCTTTTAGTTAAGTTTATGGCTCACTAAACAGCCAGTCATGGACAAAACAAAGGCAGCGGGAACATTTCAGAAGCAGAAGAAGAATAATTCCTATCATATGCTTAGATTTTATTAATTTGTTCCAAGTTCCAAAAAAAGCTGAGACACTATATAAAATCTAATCTCAAATGGAAATGCAAATCTTAAAGGCTCCTATTTTATTTACAATAACACAGAAAAAGGAAAAAATAAAAACATCAAATAGTTAAAAAGAAGAGATACAGCTGCTGAACAGTCCTGGGCGCTGATGTTTTCAGTTGGTGAAATGTCTGGACTCCAGGCAGGCCAGTTCGGTACCAGGACACTTCTGCTATGAAGCCATACTGTAACAATAGCATGTAGTGCCGATTTTGAAAAGGCCTCCCTGAAAAGGATGGAAGCATATCATCCATATCAAATCCTTTACATACCTTTCACCATTAATGTGCATGATCCCAATTCCAACAGAGATCAATACACCCAGTGGCGGTCCTAGCCTGCTTGGCGCCCTGGGCGAACACTCAACCCAAGGATCACCACAACACACACCTACACCTTAGTTCACAGATTCACTTTGTCTACACTGTAAAATGTAATATTGTGTTTAATTAAAAATATTAAATAGGCTGAACTCAGTTTTTATCAATTTGTTATTAGAACTAGATTTTAATAAGTTACCAGTGCATTTTGTGCAAAAACGCTGATAAACTCAATTTATTTGAGTTGTCTTAACTTAGAAAAACTAAGTAAGCTGGAAGTTTTGCTTCTCAGTGCGGAAGG